ACAACATAATCAACAAGAACGACAACATCAACAACATCAACAACAAAAATATCATCATCATCAACAACATCAACAACAACTACTACTACAACAACAGAAACAACAACAACGTCAACAACAACACGAAAACATTAGCAGAATGCCAGCCTTAAATAAGAAACGGCAGAAAAAAATTAGAGTTTGCCCGCCATCTATGTTGACGTCATCATTGTCGTCGTCATCGTCATCATCATCATTATTATTTATATTATTATTATTATAATATTATTATCATCATCATTATTATTATCTTCATCATTCTGATTTGATTTTTTTCAAAAATATGAGTGTATGAACAAAAGGTAACACTGCTGAGCTGAATGAACAAATGAATGAACGAACGAAAAAACGAACGAAAAAACGAACGAATGAACGAACGAATGAACGAACGAATGAACGAACGAATGAATGAATGAATGAATGAATGGACGGATAACTCAAAAATGAATGAACGGATGGACGGAAGGAAGAAAGAAGGAACAAATGACTGCAGGTGTTACGGAAAGATCCATTAACGAAATTGAAAAATAGCAACTGCGATGAGAAATTTTCGAAAAAAAAAATTATTTTTCCAATTTGAAATTTTATCAGTTTTACGATTGAAACATTAATCGATCAATCGATCAACCAACCAACCAACCAGCCAACCAACCAACCAACCAACCAACCATCCAATTAACCAACTAACCAACCAAACAATTCATCAACCGACCAACCAACCTATTAAAAACCAACCAGCTATGAATGAGTAAATGAACATATGAACACATTAACGAACGAACTAATGACTGACTGACAAAATGAACGAACGAAGGAATAAATTAAAGGATAAAGGAACGAAAGAACGTACACGCGAACAAATGGATGAATGAAATAAATTCCAATTCAGCTAATGCCGCCACGCCGCAAACCTCCCACACAGCCACACATACATGAACGAAAGTAAAGAAGAAAAGAGAAAGAAAGAGAAAATGAAAGCAAGAAGGAGAGAGAGAGAGAGAGAGGAGAGAAAATAGAGAAAAAAGAAAGAGAAAAAGAGTGAGTGAGTGACTGAACATACGCAAGACTTGGAAAGAACAAGATAAAAATGCGACGTTTAATTAAAGCGGCCTGACCGTTCAATGTTTGTTTTGACTGGTGACTATCTATATTTCTCTCTCTCTCTCTCTCCCTCTCTCTCTCTCTCTCTCTCTCTATCTCTGTATCTTTCGTTTTATCTTTCTGTGTATGTATCTATGTATGTGTGTGTAGTATATATATGTTATATGTGTATACGTATTTGTGTGTGTCTATAGAGGTGTATGTGTGTGTGTGTGTGTGTGTGTGTGTGTGTGTGTGTGTGTGTGTGTGTGTGTGTGTGTGTACAGAAGTGTTTGAATCTTCTGTAGTTTGGGTATTTTTATTTAAATTTACGAAAATCGAAATAGTGGTCGAATATAAAATATAATTAAATAAACACATATATAAAGAGATAATACAAATAAATGACACACAAACACACACACACACAAACATACACACATACATACACACAGACAGACATACATGCACACATGTGACTTTAAAATTCTAGTAGAGGAATAGACAATAAACAACAATTGAAGTGTAATTTTGACTTGAGTAATAGTCGTGTCACTAATAGTGGTGGTGGTAGTAGTAGCAGCAGCAGCAGCAGCAGCAGCAGTAGTAGTAGTAGCAGTACCTATTATAGTAGTAGTATTAGTAGAAGTATTCCCTCCTTTATTCTTTCATTCGTTCGTTCACTAATGCGTTCATAGTATAGAAACCGAAATTGTTTAAAAATAATTCTCCATTGAACCAACCCAGTAAAAATTTCTAGCACGGAAAAATAAAATAACGAAACTATAAAACACCGATATCGAAACGATCCAGCACCGATACCAAAACGAGACAACGTCGATACTGAAACGAGACAGCGTATATATCGAAACGATACCGAGAGGGGGGAAATTTTTTTTAAAGAGTGAACTTTTTTCGCACGTTCTCCATCGTTAAAATCTATCGATCAAGTTCTCTTCTTATTAAACTTGCGCGTAAAATATGGCGGTACGAGCGTTACGAATAATAAAAATAATAATTAATATTAATAAAATAATTATTAATAATAATAACTAGTAATAGTAGTAGTAGTAATAGTAAACAGAGGTATTTGATAAATTTGATTGATTGGGTGATTTGAATGAGCCAATAGGAAAAAGATGATTATTATTCATGGGATACGCTGACTTATAAATTGCGCTATATAAATCAATTCTATCATCATATCTTTATATATTCATCCTTTTTTCGTTAATTTATTCATTCAATTTTTCATTCATTCCTTTATTTAACCTATCAATCTTTTCTTCATCCAATAAATCACACCATCTTTTGTTCGTTCGTTCGTTCATTTGTTCATTCATTCATTCATGCATGCATTCATTCATTTCTTTATTATTGATTCAATCATTCATCCTCTCTATGGTTCATTTGTAGTCCCCCTCTCACTATCAACATCATCATCATCATCATCATCATCATCATCATCATCATCATCACCATCATCATCACCATCATCATCACCATCATCATCATAATCATCATCATCATAATCATCATCAGCACAGTAAACATCGTCATCATCATCATCATCACCACCACCACCATCATCATCATCATCATCACGCCTCAAGTGATGCATTAACATATTAGCGGTTACACCTTTCACAATTAATAATTCTCTCGTTATTCCGTCTTTCACTCTACAACCGC